TGCAAAGTAAAACCACACTGAGATACCACCTAACTCCAGTCAGGATGGCCATCATCAATAACTCAAAAAATAACAGATGCTAGAAAGGATGTGGCAAAAAGGGAACACTTCTGCACTATTGGTGGGAGTGTAAACTAGTACAGCCTTTGTGGAAAACAGTGTGGCGAGTCCCAAAAGATCTAAAAATCAACTTCCCATAAGACCCTGCAATCCCTCTATTGGGAAAATACCCAGAGGAACTCAAATCACTCTATGAAAAAGGTACCTGCACATGCATGTTTATTGCAGAATTATTTACAATAGCAAAAACATGGAACCAACTGTGTTGCCCACTGAAAGTGGACTGGATTTTTAAAAAAAAGGTGGTACACATACACAACAGAGTATCACACAGTCATAAAGGAGGACAAAATTTTGAACTTAACAGCAAGTTAGATGGACTTAGAGGCTATAATACTGAGTTATCTATCACAGATCAAAGAACCAAGTATCATATGTTCTCACTCATAAACATACCTTGAACAATTATCATAATACTATAAGAAAGGGATTGGCAGTAGTAGGAAATTGCCAGGGGCAGGTGGGGGCATGATTTGCAGTGGTGAGTAACTGCTAGGGGAGAGGGGGTACACCTCATCAACAAGGGGAACCTGCATAACGAACATTGGTATACCTAACCCTGAAGTGTATCCCACATATTTAAAATAAAAAAAATTCTTGCGTGGTAGCGCGCACCTGTAATTCCGGCTACTCGGAAAGCTGAGGCAGAAGGATCGTCGGAGCCCAGCAGGTCAAGGTTGCGGTGGCCGGGAGGCCACTGCACTCCAGTCTGGGCGACTGAGTGAGACTCCAACTCAAAAAAAAAAAAAAAATTCTTTTAAAGATAAAACTTCCCTCAAATTGAATACAATCCCAATCAAAATTCCAATAGGACTTTTTTCTAGAACTTGACCACTTTGCTCAAAAATGTATATGGAAAAGCAAAGGGAGAAGAATAGTCAAGACACTCTTGAGAGAAAACAAGGTAGCAGGATTGCTCTGCTAGTTAGGAAAATGTATTATAAGGCTAAAGAGATTAAAATAGTATGGTTCTGATAGAAAAGTAGACGCTTCAAAACAGACCCACATAAATACATTTGGTTTATGACAAAGAACAGTGGAGTAAGGATAAAGTTTTCAATAAGGATTACTAGGACACTACATATCCACATGGAAAATATAAAATGCAATTATAGCCCTACCTCATACAATATGCAACAACCAAATCAGTATGGATTAAAAAACTATAGGTGAAAAGCAAAATAATAAAACTTCTAGAATAAAGAAGAATGTATTCATAATCCCAGGGAAAGGAAATACTCCTGAAACAGGACATGAAAGGACTAACCTTTAAAAAAATATGGCAAATTGTAATATTAAAACTGATAATTCTATTTATCAAAACACTATTAAGAGAATTAAAAGGCAAGCTACATAGTGTGAAGATATTTCTATAACATATAACTGAAAAGAGGATTATAGCAGAATGTATAGAGAACTACCACAAATCAGCAAGAAAACCCCAATAGAAAAATGGGCAAAATATTTAACAGGAATTAAGAAAAGAGGATATGCAAATGCTCAATAAATGAATTAACAGGAAAAGGTATTCAGTCTTACTGGCAACCAAGGAAATGCAAATTAAAACCACAAGGAGACACTACTATACACCTACACACCTACAGATCAAAAAGTTAAAAGACTAACAAATATCAAGGATGGACAACCAGAATTCTCATACACTGCTGGCAAAAATGTAAAGTGATAAAACTATTTTTGGAAATTAGATTGGATTATCGATTAAAGGCTAATGGCAATGTTTCACAGGCAGCTTCCAAGATGGCCCTAATAATCTTCACCTTCTGGTATTCACTTTGTTGTATAATTCCCTTCCCCCAAATAAGGGCTGGATCTAGTGACTGGCTTCCGCTTCTAACTCACATTAGGTTTAAAATACCTTAATTTTCATTTGCTGACTCTCTCTTCTGGATCTTCTTACTTGTTCATTCTGATGAAGCAAGACACTATGCTGTGCGCCATCCAAGGAGAGTTCCACAAGGCAAGAAACTGAGGGCAACTTCTGGTCGACAGCATATAAGGAAATAAATTCTGCCAACAACCACAAAGTGAGCTTGGAAACAAATTCTTCCCCAGGTGAACTTGAGATGACTGGAATCCTGGCTGACACATTGACTGCAGCCTTATAAGAGACACTGAGCTAGAGAACCCAACCAAGCCACAGCCAGATTCCAGCCCCCCAAAAACTGTGAGATAATACTGCTTTAAACCCAGGTTTTGGGAACTTGTTACACATCAGTAGACTAATATAAATAAAACCATGCTAGATTGTGCTAACCCAACACAACATTTGGGAATCATGCTACTCAGGATTCCTTTCCTACATGAGCTTCAGTTTGTTACCCATGCTATCTCATGAGTTGTTTACATGAGAAAGGTGTAAGTGTCCAGGTCTCAGTCCTTAGACCTCTTTCCTTAAACTCACTTCAGTAATCTCAGACAAAATCACAGCTTTCAAACCTCCTTCATCCACAGCCTCCCTCCATCTCTGCTGGAGGAACTCCATCCTTCTAGTTGCCCAGCCCAAAGCCCTTGGAGTTTTTCTTCTGGTTGCTAACATGGCACACTCAATCCTGTACAAAGAAACCCTGATGGATCTACTTTTAGAAGCTATCCCGAATCTGACCATTTATACCAATCCACTGCTATCACATTCGTTCATCATCTCATCTGGATTACTGAAATAGTGGAATTCACTCTGCCAGCATCTACACTTGTCCTCCTACAGGTCATCCTCACCGAATGCCAGGGTAATGCTTTTTAAAATAAGTCAAATCATGCATTCTCCTGCTCAAAACCTTACAACAACTTCCCATTTAAGTGTAAAATTTAGGTCCACACTGTGGCCCCCCTGCCCTTGCCTGGCTTGCCCCATCACCTTTCTGACGCTGTCTCAATGGCTTTCCTCCTTGTTCCTTCTGTTCCACACTGATGTCCTTGCTCTTCTTCAAACACACAGGCTACTCCTTCCTTTCCAGCAGCCTTTCTGAAAGAGAGTTCTGAAAATCACCTACAGGGCTGACTCAATAGGTGTAAAGTGGGGCTTGAGAATATGCGTTTCTAACAAGCTCTCAAAAGATGCTACCAGCATGGAAGCCACACTTTGAGAACCACTGCCCTCAGACATCCATTGTCTGTAATATGTTGAATTCTCTCCTGCACTCCTAGAATAATAAGAGTTATAGACCATCTTAGGGAGAACTGTGAAAACAGAAACTGAATACTATTTTGTGCTCTGTGGAGTTCCCGGTGAAAAGGGCTGTGAAAAATCTTCAGGACTAACTTTCCATCTTCAAGTCTCAAATCCTTAATGACATCTACACCAAGATTAACCTTTAACAATGTACTCTCTCCCCACCCTATTTTCCTCAACTCCCTTTACCTTGATCTTTTTTCCTCTTCTTCCTACAGCACATATGACCCAACGTGCTGTGGTTAACATACTTGTTTATGGTTTATACTCTCTCTTCAATAAGAATATAAACACCAAGATGAAGGATCTTTATTTTTTATCCCAAGAGCTAAGCAGACATTTTTTAAATATAAATCAAACATTTGAATTGAATCCTTTGTCTCTGCAGAATAAAAACTGATTTTTAAAAAATATACTAACTATAGTGTTAACAGAAGGAGAGCATAATAGTGGGGGAGAAACAGACCTGAATCAGATAAACCTGAATCCACAAGTCATCTTCACTACTGGCTAAATATTTACCCAAGGTTAATGTCAGTTCTCTGGATACAGTGTCTTCATCTTTAAAATAGTAATAACAGCTGGTGATTGTTAGAATTAAATCAGAGATTAGCAATGTACAAAAAATATCTTGCACAGTTTTTGTGATTGAAGAAGTGCTCAATAAATATTACTTTCCTCTTTCATACCTGTGAAATGTCTGGACAATGTCTGGACAACTGGATTCTTTCTGCCTCCTCCCTCAGGGAGCAGCCTCTTACCAAGGCTGGTCTCTGCATATTCCTAACAAAGGAGTTACCCGGTGCAGGCTAATTGAGCAGAGTTGAGAACAATGTGGGTGTCACCCTTACTCACTGTGATTGTAACCACCATGTAGCAAGTTGGATAATTACTTGCTTGACTATAAAACTGTATGCTGTACTGTCCTGAGGCATGGATTCCTTCTTCACTGAAGAGCTGCCATTGGCACTTCTTGGGCAGATTCTTTCTCCACCAGCCAACCATCATCAGTGTCTCCTGTAAGTTCTAATAAACCAATGTCTCTCCTTGTTGGACCTCTGGTTGACTTCTTTGAAATATGTAATAACCTTACACGCAAGCCCTCTCAGATGGGGTTGTCGCGTTATAATACTTCACCTCCTCTAGCTCATTTGAAATGCAAGTTATTTTAAAACCCAATCCTTTTAGTTACAGATACAATTATATACAAAGGCACACTTTAAAAAATAAAAACCTCTAATGACCATTAGAGGTAGAACTCTGTTATAAAACCCTTTACCTAATCTGTCCATAGTACCTTCAGGTTTCCCAATATACATCAAACGTAATGGAGAATAATGACAGAATTTTGTTATTTTACAGATACTGAGAAAGTATTTCAAACTCAACACCCATAAGATATTAAAGTCTCCACCAACAGTGTTCATTCATAATTGTGTTTCTGGGTAACAGGCTGCTTGAGTTCCAGTGGACTTTCTAAATGGAACCTAAATCTCGCTGTAAAACAAAAATCTCACGTTTCTTATCAGAAGCATTTGAGAAAAATAATTTTTACAAATGTGAGTATTCTAAGTCTCCCTGCTAGAGATATAAATGCCCTGTACATGGCAACAATAACCATTTCCACCACTGTAGTGAAACATATGTATGTATTTACACTGTTTATGCTGCGCATTCATGCATAATCTGATATTGCTGAAATAGACTCTTTATTTCTGAACATTCCAAAACAGCAGTGTACACAGTAACAAATATTAAGTTATACCATAAGAAAGCATTCATTAGTGCAAATGAATTTTGTAAAAGGTCTATCAAAAAGATTTATTTGCTTTAAAATGCATTCATTTTCAGAAGCATTGTTAATAAAACATTACAGTTTCATCCTTTGTAATAAAGTATTGAAAATCAATTGTGGTACAGTAGCAAACATTGCAAGTATTAAGTGCAATGAGCTTGTGACACCATTATAAATATGAAATCCATGTATGACAATAAATTAACAATGAAAAAGACAAGACCATTTAATTCTGCTGTCTGGCTATCTCCTTGCAATGCTTCAGATTATGTTGTGCTCATTCAACACAAAATTATGTCTCTCAAATTGTATAATGTATTTTTGCTGATATATCCCTAGAGCTAAAAAAATAGTACCTTACCACAAAAATATTTTTATGGCACAAAATTTAAGTTGTTCCATAGTGGTTCACATAGGTGTAAAAAGAAATAGGCACAAAAAATAAAATTCCTGTAAACTATAAAAAAGTAAATTTCAAAGCATACATTATAGAACCTAGTTGTAAATATGCAATGTATTAAAATACAGAACATGTAATGGAAAGATGTTTAGAACACATAAGTAAATTTAACAAGTTACTTTTAAAAACTCATATGGCAAAGCATTATTGATACATTTCAATTCTTTCAAAAAGTATTCAGGTACAGAGCAGTTCTACAAAAACTTCCTAGATCTAAGTGTCACAATACTGCAACTCTGAATTTGCGAATGCTGCAGTATCCCAGGCAAATATTTAAGTGCAATAGTTAGTCTCTGGTGACTGGTCCATTGAAAAACAATGCAGTAAATACATTAACACGCAAAAGGGAAAGAATATCCCAACACCCACTGTTACCCAGCCAGCTAGGTAACACAACCCTCATATTCACTTCTTTCCCATTCTTCAAGGGGACATAAAACTGCATCAGTAGCAACCATCTCTCCAATTTCCATCCCTCAGAGTGCTGAGTGAAGACAGAGGCTTTGGAGGCTGAAGAAAACTATGATGGGATGGAAAAAAAAAGCAAACAGGTGGTTAATAACCCCGAGTCACATCACTTACTTTGATCTACTCTCACATCAATGCTACACCATTTCAGTGACCACAAGCTATTGGTACCATCCCGAGTGTAACTTGTGGTTCACACTTCTGGGGCTCATTTGCCAGAGCCTCAGTTCAGAACAAAGTGCCACACATGTTGTATATGCACAAATATAAGCAACATAAGCAAAAATGTCCAATATCCTTAATGTATAAAAACATCTCAAAATAAGAGAAAGATCAATTCCCCAATAGAAAGAGGCCTAAAAACACAGTTACTTCATTGAACACCAACAGCAACTGAACACGAAGAAATTTTCAACCTTATAGATAACTGAAGATTTACCTGTCATATTAGCAAAGCATTTGAAAGGAATAATAATGCCCAATGTTTGCTTCAGTTTGGGGAAACAGACCCTGTCATACAGTCTGGCAGTGACAATCATCGTAAGAGTTTAGTTTGGTGACATATATCCAATAATAAATGGACAGTCTACAATCGCTTATATTATTATGTGATTTCATTCAGCCATAAACATGATGGCACAGCTCTGCCTTTACTAAGAATAAGCCAGAGTTTACTGAAAAAAAGCATGTACCAAAAATTGATTTCTATTTGGGTAGTAGGACGGGTCAGTCGTTACTTTTTTGTTTTTTCTATAGTTTCTACATTTGCTTATGATCTAGTTACCTATTACTTCTAATCAGAAAGCAAAAAGCAAAATTATTTATATAAATAAATGCACAAAAAAGAAAGAACAATTACTTGTTCCACATCCCTTTCAAACTTTTACTGTGTTTCCCTCCCTCTTCTCCTTCATATCCTAATTTCTTGTGAGAGTTGTATTTATCCTCCCCACTTAATCTCCCAACCTCCCCATAACCCACTTTTATGGACTTTTGCTTTACTATAAGACACTCCAGATACTCCAGAATGTTCAAGAAGGGTACATCATGACCAGAAGCTGGTCTAAAATGTCCTCTGCAAGAACAGAAACCCAAACACTGCATGTTCTCACTTATAAGTGAGAGCTAAACTAAGGATCTGCAAAGACATATACAACAGTATGATGAAAACAGAAGGCTCAGAAGGGGGGCTGTAAACAAGGGTGAAAAGCTGAAAAATCACCTGAAGGGTACAATGTGCACAGGTGGGGGTGGTGGGTACCCTCAAACCCCAGATTTCTTTGCCACTATAAAATGTATCCACGCAACCAAAAATAAAAAATAAAAGGACCTCTGCAAGTAATTGGGAATTTTGAGGAAAAGGGTAAATTCTACCTAGATCACAACAAACTTACCAATAAAAGCTGATAAAGCCCTAGCTGAATATCATTAAGAGGTTTTTAAAACCACGTGTGTGGGCGAGGGCATCTGTGTGCACATGTGCCTAATACATTTTTCCACATTTTGTTAAAAAATGACTGATTCAACAAATATTTGAGATCCTACCCTGTGCTGGGCATAAGTTCTGGGCACTGGGGATATACAGCAGTGGACCAAGGAATCTACTACTCCTCACCCTCACGAAGCTCACAATTTTGGGTAGAGGTTTCATCCGAGCAAAGACCTAAAGGGGGCAGGAGTGAGCCATATAGATAACTTGGGATCAGGAAGCTACAAAAGTTCTGGAGATGAAGTCTATTAGTAAAGGCAAAAGCAGAGTGCATCAGGAGTGAGGTGATGGGGGAGTAAACGACGAGACCAGAGAGAAGGGGACTCGACCACACAGGGACAACCATCAATTTCCGGAGGAAGGAAAGACACAAGTCAGGTCATAAAGGGTAGTCAGGATGATCTTGGGGCAGTTTCTAGTTTTAAACTGCAAATGAAGTTATGCAAGCAAACCAAGATTCTTACCTTCTAACAGGCTGTGCAATTTTGCTTCGAGGCAGGTTACTCCCATTTATTGCCAATGAAGGTCTTGGAAGTGCACTGCGACCCATTATCCCAGAAGCTGCTGCTTTGTTTGGTGTGGGGATGCCCGTGTTGGAATATAGCTGTAAGCCATTGGATAAAGGCATGTTACTGCTGCCTTGAACAGTTGGACTCACATAGGCTGTGGCTTTAAGAGGCTGTCGGACAGACACTGGGAAATGTCCCACGCTGTGGACTCTGTGTTGAAGCTGTCCTGGTGATGGAACTAGAAGAGAAAGTGATATTCACGTGAGGAAACCTCTTCCACTATCCAACTTAGGAAATGTGTGTTACATCCAGAAGAGCCTCTACTGCCTGAAAGTGCAAAATATATAGGAAGGATAAATGAAACACAGGTTCCAGATGGCATTTAGTAGGGGAACATGCTAATCCTTGACAAGAGTCTCCTGGTCTGGCAATCAGCAACATTTTGGAGTGCCTGCTATACACGGAAGCCAGTTCTAAGGACAGTCTCCTTTCCTCTACAAATATGATAATCTCTGAGCTCTCACAAGACAAATTATTTCTTGCTTGCTTGTTAGACCTTAGGATTTCTAGATAGTTGCTCTAGGAATGGTTTCATGAAAATAAAACAAGACACTTTACTAGCTGTAATTATAGAAAGGAAAACAGAAGTGACATCTGAAGGTACAGTTCATTATAGATATATTCCTTCAAAAATATTCATTATAACATTTATCTATCTCATTTGGTTGCTGGGAAGATTAAATAAATTAATCAACATAAAGCTTTAGACTAGTGCCTGGCACTTAGTAACCTCTAAACAAGTACTAGCCATCATTACCTTTATAACAGTAGCAAAATCTACGAGATGAAGAGAACTTTCTGGGTAAGAACCCTTAAATACTTCATCAGTACACTGGCCCAACCAACATGTGCACCATTTCACATTTCTTAGGCCATTTCACATTTCTTAGGCCAAAATTTTAAAATTTTATGATCTCTTTCTCCAAGGAAAAAATTAATCAAATTTAACAGAAACTTACGCACACAATTCTGCCTGTTTACTAACTACACTGGCCTATGCTGCCTAGTACTTATAAATCAGTTCAATGTGAACACACTGTTTTCTTAAACAGTTGAACTTACTTCATCATAATATACACAATAAATAACTTTTTGAAATAAAAATAGATGGGAAAAAGGACAAAACGTATCTATGATTTTATTAGTTTATCATCCCTTGAAAATATTTCCTTAAAAAATTAATTTTTCAGCTGGGCTCGGTGGCTCAGCCTGTAATCCCACGCCTTTGGGAGGCTGAGGTGAGTGGATTGCCTAAGCCCGCGGGTTCGAGACCCGCCTGGACAGGCGAGACCTCATCTCTACAATAAATAAAAAAATGAGCCGGGCATGGTAGCACATGCCTGTAATTCCGGCTACTCAGAAGGCTGAGGTGGAAGGATCGCCAGAGCCCAGCAGGTGAGGCTGCGGTGGCCGGGAGCAGCCACTGCACTCAGTCTGGGCGACCGAGTGAGACTCCAACTCAAAAAAAAAAAAAAAAAAAAACTAATTTTTCTCAAGCATACAAGGTAAAATCTACAAATGGGAACACTGATATATGTGTATAGTAGTCAAAAAATGTATGAAAAATAAGATCTGTATAAGATTCTGCCATAATTGTATTCCCATTTAACTTTGTAACACAGTACATTTCTCTTGATTGACAAATCGTCTCTAAGAACTGTTCCACTCAATTCTATAATTTCTTAATTTACTAGTTTCTAACCATGAAAATTTTAACGTATTAACCAACTGTTACATGTCTACTGCACTAATGAAAGATGTTAATAATAGGAGAAACTAAAGGGGTACGGAGGATGAGGGGTTATATGGGAATTCTCTGTACTTCCCATTCCATTTCTCTGTAAACTTAAAACTGCTAAGAAGAAATAAAAAACAAAGTTTTTGAAACAAAAACAATTTCAATATATAAGATTAATTCAATTTATTGTGAAGCATTATATATATATAAAGTTTCATATATACAAAAGTACATAACTCTTAAGTCTATAGCTCAGTGAACCTTCAAAGTGAACACGCTCGTGTAACCACTCTCCCTAGCAAGATGTAAAGAACAACCAGCAGCTTCCAAGTTTCTCCCACGTCCCGTGTCAGTTAAACTTCCCCAGAGATTACTGCTACTCGCAATTTTATCATCACATATAGTTACTCCTGTTTTGAGCTTCATAGGAACAGTGTATTAGTATGTTCTTTTTTGTATCTGGCTTCTTTCAACTCAACATTATGACTGTAAGATTCATCCATGTTGCTGTACTATTGTGTAGTATTCCACTGTATGAATGTGACTACTGCCCTGGTGACAGAAGACTAGGTTACTTCCAATTGGGGATTCTATGAACATTCTTGAACACATTTTGGTGATCATAAGCGCTCATTGAGTATATACCAGATTCTGTAACTACTAGAATACATGAATCCAAAGTTATTGGATACAATATCAATATACAAACATCAATTGTATTGTACTAGCAAACTAGTAGAAACTAAAATTTGAGAAAATAATATTTGTAAACATAGAAAACCAAATGCCTAGGAATAAATTTGCTATAGAGATAAAACCTCTATATAGAGGTTTTATATAGAAAGCTACAAAACCTGACTGACAGTAAAGACCTAACTCAATGAAGGACTGTTCTATATTAATGGGTTAGAAAACTTAATACTGTTAAGATTCTCCCAAAACTGACCCAAGGATTCAATGAAATTCCAGTCAGTTTCATTGGAAATAAAATTATAGAGCAATTATTCAGGAATAGAGTCCTATTAGTCCGATTTTTCCTCTAACACACAAGACAAATAATTGCCCTTGATTAAAAAAACAGAGAAAATTAGCTAAAATTAAAAGACATAAAGACAGCTATATTAAGACTCAAACTCAGGCAACCCCCTCGAGTCCCCTCCCCCACTGTGGAAGCTTTATTGTCCTCTCAATAAATCCTGCTTTCCCCCCCAAAAAAGGCAAACTCGGGTTTTTGGCTAAAACAGTGTTCTTCCTTCTACACAGTGGCCTTTCCAACTTTCTCTACCCTACCTGTGTTCTTTCCAGAAAGGAAAATAGTCCAGGACTAAGAATTTTCATGATATAAACACAGAATGTATTAAGAATAGTGGCTTAGAATTTTTAGAAAATGAAGAGTTATAACTGATATTTCTCTTACAGAGCAACACTCTTCTCAAGGGCTTTCAGTATTATACTTGACTTAGAAACTATGATTTTTCTATTTTCTTCATCTCTTTTACATTTCTGAATTGGAATTCTACTGCAAAGACTTTTCTCTCTTTTCCAGTTATTTATTTAACCAATTAAGTATGGGTCTATGAATATTTTATTCTATCAGTTATAATCATTATTATTGTTTATTATGTGGCTCAAATTGTCCCAAATTTGGCCAGTGAGAGGTTCCTCTAAGTTGGTTCCTATGTCCTTTCCACATGTGCTTGTCACTTTTTGAGTACTTCAGTCAAAGCTGGACATTCTCTGTAGTGTACATTCTGTTCTCTTGTGGGTTACACACATTTTCTGGCACTTATGTCATACTATTAACATACATTGAGTTGGAGTAAACAGAAGTTCCTAATCATTACCTTTTTTGCCATTGTCAAAATGTGTTTCTCCCATCCTATACGTACATTGATTTTTGTAACTCAAATACAAAACTATGTATTTCTCTCAATTTCTTCACGACACATGTGGCCCACTATCCTAATCTCCTGATATAAAATTAGTAGTCCTCTCTGTTTCACATCATTAGCAAATTTCACAGGCTGTGTCTCTGTGTCTTTACACAACTCAAATAGTTAACAGGCTAATCCCTAAGACAGAATCTTATGGCATTCATTCATTCATGCATTCATTCAGAGTTATGTTCAGGCAGCATACCAGGCACGAACAGAAAATCAAACCATGCTCAAGACCAGAGAGAGCATATAATCTAGTCAGAAAGACAAATGTATTAAAAATAAAACATGATACACTGACTAAAAGAATAAGCACCAAAAATCTAACCCATTGTAGGTTTTTTGGGGAGACATTTGGGAGAGTGTGTTAGGGTCATTAATGAAGCAGTGAAGCCTTCAAAGGACCCTATTATATTTGGACCCTAGTATAAAGGCAAATAGGAGTAAAGTGGTTGAAGAAGGGGAAAGAAGAATGCCAAGTAGAGAACAGCACAGAGTGAGGATTATCACAGATGTTGAAAGCCCAAGGTCTGGGAGTAAACAGACCTAGGTTTGAATTTTTGCTCTTTCACCTGCATGGCCTTGGGCAGACTATTATTTAAACCTGTATAAAACTGGTTCCTCCTCTATAAAACAGGAATGGCAATAAAAACTACCTCACAGAGTTGCAGATAGAACTAAAGATAATGAATATAAACCAACCAGTAAAGTGCCTTGTACAGAGTAAATGCTGTCATTTTATTGTTAGGAATGAAGACATAAAGAAATGAGACCATCACACGTTGGGCAACTACCACTTGAGACCCAATACTGGATTCAAAGGAAAAGGGCCATAAACCATTTTGGAGGCAGACTTAACACTTGGTTGATGATTCCCTCCCCAAGTACACTCTTGAATATATGCCATACACACACACACACACACACACACACACACACGGCACTATGACCTCATGCCTTCTTTCTAAAGGTCAGTGTAAGACTAAACCCCAGTAACGCATATAGAAAGCATAAGTAGGAATAGGGGGTGGGGTGGATCTGGAAACAGCACACCCCTGCATAAAGTGAAGACAGAGCACAAGGTCTAATACTCACTGTGTTGCTCATTGCTGGGTGAATGTCTAGAAAATGAGCAACAGAATGTGGGGTAAGCTGAAATGAAGAGATAAAAACTACTTTAGACACACTAAAATGTAACACTTCATTCAGGAAGACACACTATAGACTAGTGAAAAACCAGACAAAAGTAACAACAGGACAGACTTGAATGTGTTTTTTCAGAATAAGATATCATGTATGCAGCACAAAAGAGAAAAATTTGTAAAAAAAAAAAAAAAGATTACCTTGTATGATGAGTGAATAAATTAATCACCATTTAGTACTTCTACTACCACCTTTGGATATAAAGGACTACATATACAACTTACAAATTATTGATAACAGAGGCACTGGTGAAAATATTACTCAATTGTAATGATGAAATACAAAAAAAATTAAGTTACAAGACAAGGAGAAAAGCTTTAGTGTGCTTGCAAGTAAACAAGAAGGAGGGGGAAGCATAAGATATTTTCCTAATGGTCTTACAGCTAATTAATAATTCCCCCCAAAATAAAAATTGCTCTACTTACTACAAGACTGTATTCTTGAGATTCCATTTCCAGCTCCATGCAAGCTTGAGTCAAAACTCTGACTGTTTCGCACGGTGACTGGAGAACTAATGTTGCTACTAACGGCAGTTGTACTTGGCATCCGGGCTAGGTTGGGCATACTTCTTCGGAGCTTATCTAGAAGAGAATTTTATGCAATTAAAATACTAGCTTTCAAAAGTAAATAACAAGCATCATACTTTGCTCAATAAAAAATAAAAATGTGTTTATGATCAACCTATTAGAATTAGCCTGCTGTATATGAAAACACACTTTCCAACTAGAGGAGTTCTATCCGATAAACTGTTAAAAGAAAACAAGGGCAACCCCTTCGGGTCCCTTCCCACTGTGGGAGTTTTTCAGTCCTCTCAATAAATCCTGCTTTCTTTAAAAAAAAAAGAAAGTTAAAAAAAAGTTTAGAAAGAAAAAACGAGAGTTCTATAAAAAGAGAGATTCTCTCATCAGTTGGCTTTCTGCTCCCATTCATTAAGTGGATAAAAACTATGTTAAATAAGGTTAGAAAATGAACTGATAGCCATTTACCAAAAAAAATTAACTTACTGGAACAATAAGTTCCAACTTGAGATGTCTTAAGATATCCATTCATCCCATCAACGTGATCACATTAACTCCTGGAAAGTTTTAACTCTCATGAGTGTGTCACCAAACGTTTGCAGACTTAAAAGACCAAGAGAATGCTTCCATTTTTTTTTCTCCTCAACATGGACATTTCCTACCACCAAGGGGCAGCAGAGAGTCACATACAGATCTCTTGTTGCTGACATTTGAAATCAGCCACAAGATGGCAACTCTATCATGTACCCGTTATACCATTCTTTATGTCAGAAAAGGGTGAGGGAAAGGGTGGCGGGACAAAAAAAATCATCTATCAGGTACAAGGTGCACAGGTGGGGTGCTGAGTACACTTAAAGCCCAGACCAAAGACGATTTGTAGCCCCCAAAGCGACTGAAATTGTTTTTTAAACTAAAAATTAGTTTAAAAAATAATTTTAAAAACATAAAAATAATGTTTTTAAAAAGATGGCAACTATACAAGCCTTTTTTCTTTATTAATACATATTTTAAAAACTAAAGTATATATGTGAGGTTACTCAAGCTGAGAAAACAATTGATATATTTTAATACTTAGCAAAAACTTATTCAAGTACAAAATTACATTCACTTCTTTCTTCCCTTCACCTGCTTCTTCTACATTACTAAGATCCATAAAAGGTACCCCTATCCAGTCATCTAATTCAGAATTCCAGGAGTCTCCTAAGATTCATCTTCCTCTTTTCTCCCTAGGCTACAAGTCCTATCTATTAACTCTGCCTTATAAATATTTAGTGATTCTACTATCCACTTAGTTCAGACCTCATTATTTATCACTCTATTTCCACAAAATTATCTTAATTGGTGTCCACATACCCTGTCCTGCTCCACCAGCCAGTTCCACACTTCCTTGGGCACAAGCACACATCTACCCACCCATTTGCTGAAACTTCTCCAACTTCGATTCTTCTTCCCCTCCCTCATCTGAAAGCCCGAGAGCCTAAGCTTGGCCTAGATAAGGCCCTTCTAGGCACAGGCCCTATAGACTTCTCTTGCCGCAGTCCCCTTTACCCTCACCCCTGCTTCTCAGCCTGCTTCCTGATCACAATGGAGTATTCTCTTGTACTGTGAGCAAGCTGGTCCCTCTGCTAGGACACCCTTCCCCACTTAGTGGAAGGAATGGATGAACAAGAAAACACATATTTACTGTGTATACAACTAAATGCCAGATATCATGGGAGATGGGGATACCCCACAGTGCCACAGACAGATGCAATCCTGACTCTCATTGCATTTACAGTCTAGACAGTGTTTCTCAGGCCTTTTCCGCCAATAAATATTGATTCTAGAAAGAAAATCTAACATAAATTTAAATTAAATTTAGTTTCTCCCAAATGAAAAGAACTTAAAGATTAATATTTTGTTTATCTGCATGATGACCACTTGTATACCTAATCCCGAACTGTACTCCACATCCTTAAAATAAAATAAATTTTTTTAAAAAAAGCATTCTGAAAGGTAGAGGTAAATCATGGAAGATCACAAACCACTGTAATATTTAAAGTTTTTTTCACCACTACAACTACAAGATATTTTTTATCTTTATTCATATGTACCCCATAAAGTTCACACATCAGAACATCCAAGCTTGTGGTCATTTTCCTTCAAGCTAAATCTGAAAACAAAGTATATACTTGAATAGTAATCCAAAATGCATTCAAGGGCAAAAACTAAACTCATCTCTTCTTTCTCCCTCTTCATACACTGCTCCTTCTACATTACTTCATCCATTAATTAACTGTAGCCCTGTCCAGCAATTTTCAACCCCCTGAGATGGTCTAGAGAAAAGACAGAAAATTAACCAAGTATAAGTTTACTTATATAAGAAATTTGATAAGAAAGCATAATGAGAAACTGTAAATAACAAAGTGATAGAAGACCAGAAAAGGGTGTTTTACACAGCTGGATAACACCTAATAATACTTAAAGGATTAACACAGTTTTCCCCTCCTTAGAGAAGCTTTTCTATATGCCTTCTTGCTGAGGTATCCACCACTCACCCATTTCCTTATCCTCTGTGTATATTTCTAGAGCAACAATGCTCAAATACTAACTGTTAGATTTCTTGACTATTTCCCTTATTATCTCCTTGAGGCCTGTTTTTAACAATCATGTTTCATATTCCTATTAAAGTTCCTAACCCCACATAGCAGGTACTTAATACATGCAGCAAATATCATATGTACATGTATTGGCAAAGAGTATATAGCAGAAGTGAGGAATTAAAAGAGAAGGGATAAAATAGATCTTCTGAACATCTCAAAAACTCATTAAAAAAGTGAGCTTCTATCATTACATGACTAAATTATTTTCACACACATATACTGAGCTGGGTCTCACTCTATTGACCAGGCTGGAGTACAGTGGCTCAATCACAGTTCACCACAGCCTTAACCTCCTGGGCTTAGGTGATCCTTCTGCCTCAGCCTCCCGAGTAGCTGGGACTACAGGCGCACATCACACCACCCAGCTAATCTTTTTTTTTTATTTTCTGTAGAGATGGGGTCTCGCTATGTTGCCTAGAGTAGTCCTGAACTCTGGGGCTCAAGCAATCCTCTTGCCTCGGCCTCCCAAAGTGTTGTGATTACAGGCATCAGCTACCACACCTAACCTACACTGTATATTTTTTAAGCAGCAGGGAGGCAGAGGGGAATCATTATATGCTACTATTTATGAAAGTAATTGAACTTTCATACTCCTTTTTAAAGTTTCTCTCCAACTATTTACTATAATAGTTTTCATATAGAAATGTTTAAAAATCACACATTAAACACTTGTATGTTTTCCACTTAGATATACAGTTGTTTTCATTCTGCCATATTTAATTCATACTGAAATATTAATATGGAGTCGAATCCATGTATGCATTTGCTTGCTTTTGCTAAATAGAAAAGCTGCAGACATCTTGACACTTTAACCCTAAATGCATATCAACCTCCTGAGAATGAGAAGATTCTATGAAATCACAATACTGTCATCATACGAAAACAAATTAACAATAACATATTACAAACACAAAATTTTTCAAACATCCCAAGAACATTTTTCCCTAAACCACAATCCAATCAACATTCACACTTTACGTTTGGTTGTTATATCTTTAAATCTGTTAATCTAGATGCATCCATCTCTAAAATCAATCTTTACTAATATTTAAGTCAGTTTCACAAAGCTTTCATTTTGAAATATGCTCTTCAAAATAAAGTCTTCCAAGTGTAAATATTTAGGACAACATTCCTCTGGGAGCGAAGCTGTGAACTCCAACTTGTGTCAGACCATCTGGAAATGAGGTACACTTTCCTGTTAAACAATTTGGAATGTTTTAATGACCACATATACGTTAAAGTTCAAGAAACCAAATGTAATGTGCTAGTTCTATCTTCATAAGAAATCAGTTACTTAATCTTTAAGAACTAGGACGCAGCAGGAAACTGGAGAAACAGACCAAGGAAGGCATTAAAATGAGCTCACTCATATCAAAGAGGCAGCAAAACTCACCAACTACGAAACAAAGACCAGGAATCCTTAGTTGCAGTCAACTCAAGGTCCAGGCAAGGTCCTTATGCTAACAATAACTACATCATGCCCCTGATAACCCCTGCCATACCACCTTACAAATTCCAGGAAACTTGGTAAAGATTCTGCAAGATTTAGTCACCTTTTTTTGTATCTAACAAATTGTTATAAAGGTGCTCCTTTTAATTTCATAACTCCCAGAAATATTCTAAGAACTTGTAGGAGCCATCTCTTTGAATCTCGGCAGTATAGGAGAAATAAAAGCAGTAAATATACATTTCTAGTTTATTTTAAATTATTTTTAAGAAGATTGATGATTTAACAATTATTTTCTCCTATCTATACATTATTTTGATAATTAAGAAAAATATTTGACAGATTAGTTTCAAAGTTACCACTCTTCACAACCTCATTCAGATAATATTCTCTGGTAACAAAGGCAGGCTCGGACCTTGGAGACATATGTTAATAAAAGTTTAGAAACAAAAAGGAGGGTGGAACAACCAGCCTGTGTTCAGCATATTCACTCCAGGCAACGTAACATTCATTATTTCATTTACTCCTTATAACATACTTAGGTTGAGAGAATATGTACCAGGTGGTTTGATGTGAAATTATACCTAACATTTCTAAGAGAGAGGCATTATCTCATAGATATTGCAGAGATAGATATTATTTTGTCCATATTTTATAGTTGTTCCAGAAACCTACCTTTGTGTTCAATTTTTTCTTTGTATTGTGGAAACCAGACCAGTTTTATTTTAGGAAAAATAAAACTACCACAAAGGGATCTAAATGATGACATGTCTCTACTTTCCTACGAGGAATATCACAGCACAGGTTTCAGGGAAACCTAATCCTTTCCAAAGTGGTGTTTGATGAAAGTGAATACCACTTTTCTAAAGTACAAAAAACAGTGGGGTGGAGGAAATGGATCCCATTGACAATAGTAATTAAGATGCAGGGCTAGCATCTGCTTGACAACTTGACTATGATGTTCTAAACACTTGAGAACAAAACCTTTAGAGAAACAACTCCAGGTGCCTTGTCACTCAATTTTAATGGGATGCGATGACTTCTACTCAGCTCACGGAACACACCACCTTTCTGATAACATGAGCTATAATATAGTAAGTCACTATGACATTTTTTAGCAACTCTTTTAAACTTGAAATCTGAAGGAAATAGAAATGACAGAAATTATGACTATAAAGTTTTAAATATTTTCCAAATGATCTCAATGAGTATGAATGATGCAAATGCAGGGAAGAAAGGGTTAAAAACTAAAATGTGAAAACAGCTGATCACTAATACAATTTGCATTTGGCCTAGCAATATTTTTAAACACTGTTTGATCACTTCCGGGACCAACTTTAAGAACTGATAATATATAATAATTAAGAGGTATTACTGTATAATTATGAATTATTTTTAAGTGGCCTGGTTTCCACAATATTTGAAATTTGTGAGGGTCTGGCTGTTTATTAGTGCAAAAATGCACCAGGCTTAGACTATTACACAACTGCTTCCCCATAGTTCCTGGAAGTTAAGGAGGTGAATTCTTGGGAGTGAGAAAGATAAATGATGAAGAGGGCAATACAAAAAGAACGACACAGACACCAACCTGCCCTGCAGACAGGACAGTCAGCTTCCCACTACCACACCAATTCTCAGTCTCCATCTTCCTACTGCTAGACATATCTTAATTCTAGATGTCAGGAGATCGCAGGGAATGACACACCCCAAATTTCCCTAAATCTGGAGGTGCCGGAGCAGCATCCTCTCCAAGCATCACCATCTATGCTTACCATCGCTCTGTGCTAGAAACAGGCAGTAAGAGACCGAAGGTTGCACAAAAGCTGAAGGACAACACAACTCAGAGCCTTTGACTCTATGGGGCTCAATCACAAACTGCTTGGCTTGCACAACTCTGCCTGTCCTACAGCTGTGCCTGCAACAACATAAAGATGCTGCACATTTATAACCCATTCTGAGCCAGCAGTGTCATGCACATTTTCTTGAAACTGTAAATCTATGAATCTGGGATGTGTAATCAGAAGCTTGTCGATTACAGATGTAAATGTACATCAAACTGATAAGGTCCGTAGGGAAGAACTCAACAAATCTGGGAAACATTTACCAATTATCTATATTAACCTTAAAACCATTTCTTGACCACATATAAAATACCAAAGTATAACAAATACCAGAAAGACATATAACCTACCTCCATTGGACCTATTTGGTTGCTGATCTGTAGTTTGGGCTTGAGGTGAATAATACTGTTGCTGCTGGTAATTATTTGAGGGAAAATATTGGGAACTGGGGCTCCTCCTACACTCCCGAATGCTTGAGAAAGTCTGTGAATGGGGAATCCCTCTTTGGAAAGGTGAACACCTTGGAAGACGAGGCTGAGGTGGTGGCAGATGATCGAATTCCTCTTCATCCTCCAGACTGTATCGGTCATATTCTTGATCACTACATGTCCCTTTTTTTCCTGAACTCAGTGACACACTGGAACTGTGCCTCGACACAGATGCTGAAGTAGAGGCATAATCTTGCCTGAGGCCTATAAAATAACAACAAATGGTATTCTTATGAGGTATTCTAATCTCACTAACATTAAATTAAAATAAATCAAATGCTATGGTAAGAATTTGTAAGAAACAAATTATTCAAAGAGATTTTATTAAATCCCAAGACAATAAACACATTTATCTGCCAAACAGATATCGAATATATTGTTTTGTAACAAGATTGCCCCAATTCCCATGAAGACTAAATACTCCTTCTACAGTTTATCCATCAATATCTATCAATTTCCTCAAAAGATCCCTTTTTAAAACAGGAGATATTGAGGAAGAGAACTTTCAAAGAAATATTCATCATAATTACCAATAGTTTGACTTAGAACAATTTAAATCATTAAATTTCTGCCCAAGTAGGAAGTCATTCTACTCTCCATCCCAACTTTCGGAGTCAAAGGCAAAGTTTAAAACCTGAGGTACAAATACTTTCCAACAAAGTTGTCTCTCTTTTGTTCTTTTTTGTTACTAACATTAGCTCTTTCAAAGCACATGACACCTCAATACTTCAATAGTTTTAGTTCATCCTAAATGGCAACAACCTAAAAATAGTCCAACTTTAAGTTTCCCACCATTTAACCATTGTCAATGCCACAATTTATAGTCTATTCCTACCCAGACTTGGTGGCTCAGCCTGTAATCCCATGCTTTGGGAGGCTGAGGTGAGTGGATTGCCTGAGCCCGCGGGTTCGAGACCCACCCGGGCAACTTGGTGAGACCTCATCTCTACAATAAACCAAAAAATTAGCCGGGCATGGTAGCGCGCACCTGTAGTTCCAGCTACTTGGAAGGTTGAGGCGGAAGGATCGCAAGAGCCCAGCAGGTCGAGGCTGCGGTGGCCGGGAGCAGCCACTGCACTCTAGTCTGGGTGACAGAGCGAGACTTCAACTCAAAAAAAAAATATATATAGTCTATTCCTGGGCATTTTTCTGAAATGAATATCCAATTTTTTAGCCATATACTTTTAGAAAGAATATTTAAGTTTGCTTTCACTAATGATATAAAATAATCACTTTTCTCCTCAAAATGTATCTTATTAAATCCTGCATAAGCATTACCATGTTTCTCATAGTAGCCTTGACTAGTTCTAAGAGCAGGAAATTGCTGTGCTTAAATGATACTTGGCTGTTTTTACTTATATTGGCTGAAAAGATAACTCCCAAACAAGCTTTGCTCAGTTCTGTCATCTGTGTCTCATTGTGCCTTTTGAGACCATTAATGCCCTTGAAGTAGTTTACTCCCGAATCATGTGTTGTAATTTTTTTAACTAAGGATAAAAACTTTCCCATTTCTATTAATATTCCATAATTATTTACCCTGAGATAACTAAACTTTTAAGAAAATTGTAGACTCACATGCAGTACTAAGAAATAATACCTTACATTTTGTCCTGTTTCCCCCAATAGTAACACTGTACAAAATTATACAATATGACAACCAAGGTATTGGTAGTGATATAATCTACCCATCTTATTCAAATACTCCTAGTTTCACTCATGTGTGCGTGTTAGTATTAAGTTCTATGCAATTTATTACCCACAGGTTCATACATCCACCACCAGTCAAAACACCGGACTGTCCTAATATCACAAAAATCCTTTGTTTTGCCCTTTTATGACCACATGCACCTCCCTCTGAAGACCCCATGCCCTATCCTTAACCCCCAACAACCACTTATCTGTCACCCATTTCTGAAATTTTGTCATCTCAAAATGTTATACAGATGGAATTATATAATATGCACTCTCTTGCAACCAATTCTGTCACTCAGCAGGATTCTGTGGAGCTTCACGCAAGACGTTGTATCGGTGGTTTGCTCCCACCACTAACTGCTGAGTAGTACTCTACAGTATGGATGTACCACAGGTGGGGTAACCATTCACCTACTGAAGGACATCTAAGCTAATTCCAGTTCTGGGCTATTACAAATAAAGCTGCCAAGAACATTCATTTACAGGTATTTGTATGAACACAAATTTCTGCTGTCTGGAATAAACACTCAAGAGTGCAGGGTGCTGGGCCACATGAAGTTGCATGTTTAGTTTTTCAGGAAACTGTCAACCTGTTTCCACAGTGGCAATACTAGCAACGTCCACTAATGTATTTGGATCAGATTATGTCCTGCCACCTCATGAGCATGTGAGAAGCATACAACAGCTACACTAAAAAAGTAGGACAGTATGACAGAAAGAATGTCTGCCCGTTACTTGAAGAGAATGCCTGAGCCTCCCTGTACCCCCTTTATTCCAAGCGGAAACCTCACTTTTCAGTTAAAATAGATGAACGTACTTTCTTCTTGCAGACGAGCCATGATCTGAACATCAGTGAGGTCCTGTAATTTATATCCCATGGAGATAGAATCATCCTCCAATTCTGAAGTACTCAGCTCACTGTCAATAGATGACTGGGGGCTGAGCGGGGAGCCCCTGGAAGTGTAACCTGAAACCCAAAGAAAATGTGTGTTATTTAGTCTAAAGAACTGATACCTATATATGCTTCACAAATCATATATAGAGTCAGCAACTTTTTTCACGTCACAAAAAAAGACCTATTAGCATCATGTAAAAGTCAGATAACAAGTACCTCTTTATGTGTTTATAAGTCATATATACAAAACCATTTATTCACTGTTTTCAAATTCTATTTTCACAATTAAAAACAAATCACTTTGTGTTGCATGCTAAAAAATTTGTTCAGAGAATAAATTTCCCATATGAGTTTTTTAATCACAATAAAAAATTCACTACTACAAATTTGTATACCATTAGATAAATATACATCTAAAGGTATGGTATAAGAACGTATATATTCATGTATACTTTTTGTTAATGATAAGACATACTTGTCTCTAACAGTAACTGACTATATATTTTAAAACTGAAATTTAATCTGGCCTATTCTTTAATGGGTACAAACAGTAGTGCTATAAATGGATAAGAATATCACACATAAAAGGCACACACACATACATAAAATATATACAAAACCTTCATAATTGAGACCAGTGAGTAGTTACAGTAGACTCACTGCCACCCATGAAAGTAAAAAAAGCAATGGCTTGACATAAAAAGAACCAAAGAAGAAATAGAAGAAAGTTGCAGGAATGGAATCACACCAATGCCAAGACAAATAAGGAAACGACGAGAACTTCATCTCATAAAAAGCCACTATGACTATTTTTTCTAACCCTGCTTAATAAAACTGTCAGAAAAATTAAAATTAACAAAAAAACCAAGATATAAATGCTTGCAATCTTGAACTGGGACACAAAATAGACTGTATTAGACATTTAATTTTAAAAGCACATTACACATTTAGAAACACATAACTGCATACGACACAACTGAAAGCAGCAGATCAATGGTGTAAGAATACAAATGAGTGCGAGGCCTTTTTTACCCAAAGTAAACATACAGTACAACCTCCCCATTATGGTAAGATTACCCTCAAGCTTTTCAATGAAAGATGGATATTGAAGCTGTTTTTAGTGGCTGAATTACAAAGCAAGCAGCTAGTCAAGAAGTTGAAATATTACCTGTTTTTTCAGGTGTTAGTATTGCTTTATTTGAGGTTTTAGAGAAGCTGGGAGTATTAATGCCATTGCTATAAGGGCTGAGTCTTGCAACAGGACTATAGGGAAAAGCCAGTGAGGCAGTTGAAGAGAAGAGACTCCGCCAGCGGCTAGCTGTCATAGAAGCAGAAAACAGCAGCAGTTAGCTATACAAGCAGATGTTGATTTGTCAGGAGGAGAAAGGGGAAGAGATTTTTTTAAAAAAAAAAGACAAAGCAACTTTTCACAAGAATATCTTCTACTTATTTGAAGAAAAAAATGTAAAAATAATTTGTAAATTAGAGTCCTATTTATACATCCATTAAAAAAGTAAACCAATCTCACTTTGATTAGGGCCAATATACCTGCAAAAAAGTGAAAATTTATTTTGAATTGCTACATTTAAAATGTTTTCTACTTTCTATTTCTGAATAAAAGTTTAGTGTTTTGTAATATTTTTTAAAACTGTGTCCAAAAAAGCTCAAGGAAACTTGTGATCTTTAGAAATCATGAGAAATTTATTAATATTAATTATTCATGGTTCTATTATTTTTTCTATGCATTTAATATCAGAAAATGTTGATCAAAAATATTGTATGGAAACTTGTTCTTGGATTATGGGAGAAACAAAATGACTACTGCATTTCTAAATGACTTTGAGCCCGAAACAAGGTTTATGAAATAACTGTCTACAAATCAACAAAAGGATATCTACGCTGAAACTTAATAATGCCTATTTTAAATGACAGTTGTAGAGACCACTAGTGATCACTTGTTTTTTTTTTATATTTTCTAAATGTCCTGCATTGAACATACATATTATTTACGTAACTTTTAGAGGTAGTAATATGGTATATATTACTACTGATAATATCTTGATACTGAATAAAATAATGAACAAAAAGGAACTGTATCTGCCATAGGTAGATGGTCTCTTTCTTACATACCTCACCTGTACTAATTAATGTATTTCTTCTCTCCAAAACTTCCCTTTGTCACCTCTACATCCTTGGGATCACAAAAAAGACCCTGAATTGTAAAAACTTAAGTCACATCAAACATCATTTACCCTCCCTTCACAAGATACAAATCACTGCGCCTGTCAAAATCTACTTTTCTGAAAAGCAATGATTCAGATATGTCCTAAATATAACAGAAAGGAATATATTAAAAATATAAATTAGGTTAAACTTCACTTTAAGCAATAATTTGGTTTATATCTTCTGAGAAATGTTACAAAACTTGAAAACACAAGTATAAAAAAGGACTGCTTTGAAATGTATTCCCCTGATGACTTTTAATGAGCAATGCTAATAAGAAAACAGCCGAAAAGCACTTAAACATGGGCAGCGGGATGGAGAGAAAGGAACTGTGTGTAGCATGTGGACAGTCAAGAAAATAATCAGCTCCAAAACTGGGATTCTTAAGATCCTTACAAAATATCATCAAGGTGATTTAAAAGGGCAAAGTGTTTCCTTTAACTTCAGCAGAAATTCTTATGTACCAACATATTCCAACAATATTTTCTTTATGGAGGTGGAAGAACTAGGCATGGAAATTACATTCACAATGATAACGCTTTCAGAATCCACCCATTTTGCTGCATCAAAGCCTGGTTCCCAACTGACACCACTCACTGACGCCACTTATCTAACCTGTGATTTCCTGTGGTTAAGTAGCTCTCCCCGATCTGAGCCAGGGCACAGACACAGGCTCCCAGGCCTTCACTTCTACGTCGGTTGGCTTGACCCCCGATACCCGGCAAACTAAGGGTTAATAATGCAACACACACACACACACACACACACACACACACACACACACACACACTAGGTAGCTGTTCTCACATCTTCAATCGCTATTATTCTAAGTTTCTCATTAAAAATTCTATATTTTAAAAAAAGGTCAATACTTGTGACTGCTAACTCGCTTAACAGATGATGTTATTTTATACCAGTTTGATCCCTCGCCAGACAAATTATAGTGACTGCGTGTTCTCATCCACAGATGCAGGCGACAACACATCACAAGTAAACAGCACTCATTATGCTGCACAATAACGGCTGTGACCCAACTTCCCTGCACAATGACACAGTTATTGTGGCTATGACAGCAAGATCCCAACTAAGAACACAATTAGCGTCTATTGCAAGAAAGAATGCTCTACATTGTTCTCTGGCACTGAGGCTTTTAAGAAGAGGGAGCAGAATTATTGTAGAGGCAAGCTAACAAAACAATAATGCTCCACTCATGCCCAAGGCTGCGGTGGAGGAGGAGAGGGAAAGGCCCGGAAGCCACCGCATCCTAGTTCTTCACTGTGTAGCTAAAGAATCATAACAGGAAGCATTTTTACAAAGAAAAAAACAACCAAAAATACCTTTCTCAAAAGGACAAGTTTCTCTTTCAGTCAATTTACTTAACGGGTTTTTTTCATATAAAGATGTTAAATTATTTGAGAGGCTTAATGATGACCAAAATGCACCTGAGAAAGGAGTAAGATACCTTTGCCAAAGAGAAAATGGGTGCTAAGCTTCTGAACAACAATAGTTAAATTTATCTGTACTCCTACTCCAAAGTTCTTCCTATATGAAAAAGGCTTCTCGTATTTGGAGGTGGCATGGACTGTGCATTTTTGTCATTTAATTCCAACCCCTAGAGTAGCACTGAGTTGGCACCAAACAGGACAACGCAGTGATTAAACTTATCATACTTGGCACAGTTTCCTTTCCTAAATGCCTTAAGCTAAACTGCCTCCCAGGTCACGTCTTTCTGAATGCTCTCTGTAGTTCCACTGCAACTCCCCTAACAAGACACTCGCCACCTCTCACCAGGCAACCTGTTCCACTTCTAGCCACCAACACGGCCCTCAGCGAGCCTGTTCTGCACATCCCTGCACATCCAAGCAGTGTCAGTCATGGTATTTTAACTGTGTTACTCTCATCCATTAAAGAGACTTTCATCAAAAACAAGACCTCAAAACTACTTCAAATCATTTCCCTACTGCCCTTACAAACTGGCCAACTCTAGAGTGTTTTTGAAACTACCTAAGAATGCACTCTGATCGGTTAAACTTTCTCCTGTGCCTCTCTTGCTAATAAGCGTCTTCCACTGAAATAAGTACAATAAAAAATGCTAAGTTGTGGAATGACACCTCATTTTTCTGCAGAAAAAAAGGTGAGAGTAGCTAATGGCCTATTAATTTATATTTTGTACATCTTCAAAGTTGCCTGACTTAAAAAATAAATTGTAACATAGTTATTTTGGTACACCATTAAGCCAAGTATTACCAAAAAAACTTAGATTTGATAAATGTTCCAGTGATGAAACCAAGAAAATCACAAAAAGTGATAGAATAGGTTTAAGAAAACCTAATTTCTTTAATTTCCCACACTGAAAATTATTCCGTGGACAACAAAACGTTCCCAGAAACAAGGACACTCTGCCATTCCTGATTATCATTGCCTAGACTCATAGTAAATATTCAAATTTTTGTAAAACACACACGTCACTAAACATGATAAAAATCAAATTTAAGACAGCAAAATGACATTTAAAAAACTAACTGATCTAGTTACTATCTTAGTGATAAGCCTCAAAAGGTCAGTACTGCATCAAACTAAGAGCTCAAAAATAAGCAATGCTATAATATATTCTGACAACAATCACTTCGCTTTCTTCTCATGACAGAGTTAGTTCAGTACCCAATACATCTGGCACACAGTATGCACTCAACACCGAATGAGATCAAAATGTTGGCAAATTGGCTAATATTTTCGTATCCTACACCTCCTACCTTGATATTGAAATACTTTGTCCCATTTTCTAAGCTTAACTATAATATATCTTTGAAGGCAAAGGTTAGTCTAATTAGGCATTTCAAACAACTAGAGGCTCAGTAAAGAAATATGTGGGGAGGAGGTCTTTGTTAATGCTTCTAAATAATTGCTAATCTTCTGGTTTCCAGCTAAATCATTTTATATTATTAATGGCTAGGACCTGTGATGAGTCCATCAATATTAGCTAAACAGGAGTCCCTGTCTGAGAGGCCTACAAGGCTCCACTGCCCAGTTAAAAGGAAGGATTCCACCAAGCACACTAGCTGGCAGTAAACCACGCAAGAAAGCAACAAAACTTCCTCATGGTCTAGAAATACTATCATTTTTCAAAATCCAAGAAACAGTTACAAGACAACAGTGATTTAATGGAGTTTGTATATACTCTGTGAATACAGCAGCATCTGGGTTGGTCTGAGTTAGAGGGCGGTACCCTTCCTCTTTCTAGTGGCTTCTAACAGTGGGACCACATTTCTAATCAGGGCAGTTATTCTAGAACACAAGTCCTGATCCTGTTTATTTCTATTCGTTTTTCTCTTTTCTTATCTTAAGAATTAGACTCTAGCCGGGCTCGGTGGCTCAGCCTGTAACCCTGCGCTTTGGGAGGCTGAGGTGAGTGGATTGTCTGAGCCTGTGGGTTCGAGACCCGCCTACGCAACTTGGCGAGACTTCATCTCTACAATAAATCAAAAAATTAGCCGGGCGTGGTAGCGCGTGCCTGTAGTTCCAGCTACTTGGAAGGCTGAGGCGGAAGGATCGCCAGAGCCCAGCAGGTCGAGGCTGTGGTGACCAGGAGTGGTCACTGCACTCCAGTCTGGGCAACAGAGTGAGACTCCAACTCAAAAAAAAAAAAAAAGAATTAAACTCTAAATGGCAAAACTGTAGCTTGCAAAAACCATGGCTCAATCTCATTTGCCACATTCTAGTACATGTCTCTCTCAAAGGTGACCTAAAATCATCACTCCACAATGGTGGAATGACTCTGACAGTGTTGGGGAAAAATGTAAAAAATCTAAAGCAGTTCTATGTTTTCTCTTTAGTTTTTAATAATGCTGATAAAACTCAACAGCAAATTTTAGATCTGTTTTACTGAAATTCACAGACTGTTTTCTAAATAAGTCATGGTTTTCCATCTCCTTGCTCACAGTTCTCTTCTCAGCCAAATCTACATTTGCCTTCATTATTCCCTAATTCAGGTTCTGCCTTGCAGAGCTGGAGAATGATCGCTTAATTCTTCATAAGCAATACCTGAGTAGTCCCGAGTCAAAAAAAAAAAAAGATAGTGCTCTAGAATGATTCGCA